TAATTAACCCGTCATTAGCACATGTTACTGTAGCACCATATTGTCAAATCATGGGCTAATTAGGCTTAGAAGATTCGTCTCGTAAATTAGTCGCAAGTTGTGTAATTAGTTTTGTAATTAGTTTATATTTAATATTCCATGCAAGTGTCCAAACATGTTTGGTTCCTGCAGTACCTCCTAAAATTCCTGTCACATCGAATGTTGGACACATGCATAGAGTATTAAATATAGACTAATTACGAAACTAATTGCACAACTTGCGACTAATTTGCGAGACGAATCTTTAAGTCTAATTAGTCTATGATTTGACAACGTGGTGCTATAGTAAACATATGCTAATAACAGATTAATTAAGCTTAAAAAACGTCTCGTAAATTAACCTCTTCTAATTAGTTTTATAATTAATCTATATTTAATACTTCTTATTAATATCTAAACATTTGATATGACATGAATTTTACGACCACCTAGAACCAAACACCGCCCTTCTTCCCAGAGTCCAATCCACTGTTAACCCGGTCACCAACACAAACCACGCCGTTGAGGGAGCCGGCCGGCGGATGCTGCCACCGACACCGTGGTCTCGGGAGCAAACCCCGGCGACAGACCAGATCCATCCAGTCGGTGCGCCCGCCCGCCACCGGCGGCGTGACGAGGGAGGGAGGCCATCGCCAAAGGTGGCTGCTACTACCTCTAGGCTATAGCTAGGTAGGAGTAGCTTGCTGTTGCTGGTACGAGCACTGGACCGCACCAGCAGGGAGAGACCGGAGACGGAATGCGGTGGTGGTGGTGGACGACGGCCAGCCGCCCGGCGCGGACATATTCCCCCGGGAGCTGAGGCTTCTCTTTTGCGCACGACCGTTTCACTCTGGCAAGAGCGCGTGGGCTCTCCATCCTCCATTCATCCTGCAAGTGCAAAGGCAACGATGGATTGGATTGGATGCCATTGGCAACAGCAACAGTGAGCGCGCACGCAGGTACCAGCAAATGGAATGGATTGGAACTATGGAAGGGCCGGCCACTTTTGGTCTTGCTGGGTTCGTACGTGTCGTAGTGGCCCTTCCACTGCCGGTCCATCCACATTTAGCTTCACAGTTGAATGATAGAGCACACGCACGTACGAGTACTCCGCTACTCCAGACCCAGAGTCCTCGTGCACCCCCTTTTCTCTACTCGCTTCGGGTTGCCTCAGTCTGAGCTCAACAAATTTCAGGTGCCCCGTGCGGCCGTGCGTGCCCGTGAATCATAGAGGCAGGCCGGCAGAACGACACCAATCAGCTGGATTGTTGGAATGCAGAATTGCAAATGGAACCTCGTCTGGGCAAATCGGTAAAAGCTATGCATGGTCGCCTGATGCTTCGCCGACAAATCGGGGAGATTCCTGGCGGGCCAATGGCCAAATCAGTACGTAAAAGCTATGGTCCAGCTTGTTTTGCAGTGCGAGGCCGCCAGCCGGAGAAGCGTCGGTGCGCCCAACGTGCACCATACCAACTGGGCAATTGATATAGGCTTATTTGCTACAAGGGCCACAAATGCTGGCCCATGGAGATGGATGCGCTTGTTTGCTTGCTTGTATATGGGTGGCTTGCTTGGTGGGTCACAAGTGGCGAAGTGACAGCCATTTGGTTCGGCCCAAACAAATATTTAGGAATTTCTCAAAAAAAATATTTGGGAGTCTCGTTGCCTTTCCCCCCATCTTATTATTAGGTATATTGTTACACATTTTAGTTTGTAGAAAAAATGCACCAACATAGAAAACGTTAATGTAGTTTTGTTTTTTTAATAAATACTCTTTGTCTTTATAGTGCATTTATTGACCTTGCAGATGTTAACATATATATATTTCAAAAAATATATATGTTAAAATTAGAGAAGTACTCTCTCTGTCCCCAAATAAATCAATTCCTAGAATCTGTGCCAGTCAAACTTTTTTAAGTTTGACTAACTTTATAGAAAAAATAGCGACATCTATGACATAAAATGAGCATATTATGAAAATATATTCTATGATACATCTAATGAGATTAGTTTGATATTATAAATCTTGATGTTTTTTCTACATATTTGGTCAAAGTTTAAAAAGTTTGACTTAAGACAACTCCAGAAATCTATTTATTCAGGGACTGAAGGAGTATTACTTTGGATATACAGGTAAATTGATGGAGATGCCAAGATGGTGGAGACGGTCAACTGCAGACAATGAAGCTTCATGCACCAATGGAAGGATATATCAAGGCCAAGAAGGTAAAGATCCAACATATAGGTAGGATGACGACGAGACCGAACCGGCACAACCTAGCACGTGAAAGCTCACAGGACAACCATCGGCTGAATTCGAGGCGACAACTATGAGCTGATAGTGGCAACCGACGGAGTGAAGACCTACGAAGACAATAGTGGTCCGGTCAGGTGTTATGTTGGTAGGTGCTGCAATAGAAGGGTGTGGTCGTAACCCAGTCGCCGGAGATCTAGGCAACCAGAGGTCCAGGAGATTCTTCTTGTTTTGTCTATATGTTCTACACTCTATGTCTAGCCGAATTGGATAGGTGACTCTAGTAACACTTGTCAGGTCCTGAGTTCGGACTCTCCATAGGAGTGAAAGGCAGCATTGAGGTTAAAAAAACCGGCTCAGTTTCTCACATAGACAACGGTTCCGTTGTGCATGGTTGGAAGAGGTTCGGAGGTTTTTTAACCTGCGTGAGAAGGTTACTTGTAGAGAATGAAGGTCCCGGGCACAAGGAAAGAGGAGACGACTGACAAGCAGGGACAAGGTGAGGGATATAGAGAAGCTAATGGAGTTGCTCAATCAAGACAGCGTAGGGTTTCTTCTGTCTCGCTTTTTCTCTACTTTTGAAACTGCTCTCGTGTCCTTCATGTCTGGTATGTGACTGGAATTTATGAACTTTGAGTTAGAACAACTCACGTCCATCAATAATACAAAATCCGATTGTAAGATGTATTAGGTTCCATGCAACACATGAACATGTTTGCTAGGAACAGACAAAATACACACCGCATACTTGGAGCGATATATCAAATTTATGACAGAATTATTTGCTTGGCCCTAAAAAAAGTTATGCTTCCTTTCTTGGCCTTTTTATTTTTGATGTTACCTATTTGACCTGAAAGCTATCTTTAATTACTTATATGACCCTTCTGTTAGTTTTAGGATTTAACGGTGTTAAGTCAAGGGCAAAATAACGATTTTACCCCTAGGCGAACAATAAATCAGTGGAGTCTAGTTTGTTTATGTCTTATTTGAGGAATATTTCACAGGGCTTAAGGTTGTCCTAATCGCATGTGAAATATTGTTCAAAATTAAACACGGACAAACTAAATTATGCATTGATTTATTTTTTGCCCAGGGGTAAAATTATCATTTTGCTCCTAACTTAACAGCGTTAAGTCCTAAAACTAACGGGAGGGCCCTATAAGGAACTAAAAATAGCTTTTGGTCTAAATAAGTAACTTAAAAAAAATAAAAGAGTCAAAAAAAGGAAATTAAACTTTTTTAGGGCCAAGGAAATAATTATCTCCAAATTTATACCCGTCATGCATTTTGATTTAGAATTTTAGATCTTGTCAAACCATTAAAAATGAGAAATGCTAAAGAGCAACCAGTTGTTTTGGCGTCTCCCGGCAACCGGATTTTGAGCCGTCCGATCGGGAACAGCTGGCCTTGGGCGGTTGCGCGCGGCCAGCAAGGGGCGCGGCTGGCTTCGGGAGCGCACGGCCCTGGTCATGGCAGCGAGCAGCCATGGCGGGCGCGTGGGCACGACGCGGTGCCGGCGGCTAGCAGAGCTGGTTGCGCGGGGCCTGGAGACGATCATGGCACGAATGAGGACGAGGCGGCAGCCATGGAACTCGAACGGGAAGAAGCCACGGAGGGAAGTGAAGGGATAAAGGTTGGAGACGATGGGAAGGAAAGGGATAGAGGTTGGGAAAGGTGGGCCCCACTGTAATTTGTGAAAATTTTGTTTTGAAATTTGTGAACAATTTGTGAATAATTTAACATATATTTTCTTGATATATGCAATTCCTAGAAGTAATTTACAAATTATTTTTTTGAAAAATTTGGCATTATAGAAATAGAAGTTGTGTTATCCTCAAATTCCATCACTATGTCAAATAAATTACACCGAAGAAAATCATTGTAAACATAGTAATGGGACAGTGTAAATATAGCTATAAGACAGTGTAAGGGGGTGTTTGGATCTGGTGACTAAAATTTAGGAGGTGTCACGTGAGGGTGTCACATGGGGTGTTAGGATACTAATAAAAAACAAATTACGAATCCGTTATCTTACTCACGAGGCAGAATTTATTAAGCCTAATTAACAATTTGTCATTAGCACATGTTTATTGTAGCACTACATTGTCAAATCATGGACTAATTAGGCTTAAAAGTTAGATTCGCTCTCGCAAATTAATCATAAGTTGTGCAATTAGTTTCATAATTATGCAAAACTACATATTTATATCATTGACATTTAAAAACGACGTATTGTCCAAATATTCGATGGGACCCTTTTGTATTATTTATTTTTTGCTTAATTAAAGTTTAGGAGGAGAAACCAAACACCCCGTATGGGCAAAAATTCAGATTGACCCATTGCTGACTAGACAGACTATTAAAATTTGTGTCACTTTCATCATAATCTCATATCCTATCCTATAATAAAAAATTTGTGTCATTTTCATCGTAATCTCATATCCTATCCTATAATAAAATGGAGGAAGAATGGCACATGAAAAATGTACCACTTTGATGACACGGCAAAGATGGCCAAAGACCATGGGGGATAAGGAGGCGGAAAAGCAGAGCAAAAGGAAGAGCACAACAGAAGTAGAATCTTATCGGTTATCGCGCAAACGTGCCCGAGTCGCCTCGCCTCACTTTCATTCTGCGGCTCTGCTACTGCTAGGTGCTGCTAGGCACAAGAGCACGCGCCCGCGTGGTCATTCTCGACGCCGCCGGTGGAGCTCCAGACCCACGCGCCATGGCCGCGAAGCAGCAGCAGCAGCAGCACCACCACCACTTCCTGATCGTCACGTACCCGGCGCAGGGGCACGTCACCCCGGCGCGTCACCTCGCGCGCCGCCTGGCCAGCGCGTGCCCCGGCGCGCGCGTCACCATCTGCGCTCCGCTCTCGGCGTTCCGGAAGATGTTCCAAAGGCCGGCCGCCGCCGCCGCTGTGACTGTGACGGGGAGGAGGAGTGTGGCGACGGCGATGAGAAGGTCACGTACGCGGCCTACTCGGACGGCTACGACGGCGGGTTCGACGTCGCCGTGGACACCTACGCGCGGTACATGGAGCAGGCAAGAACGGCGGGGTCACGCTCGCTGGCCGGTGTGCTCCGCCGCCTCCGCGACGACAGGCGCCCGTCACGTGCGCCGTGTACACGCTGCTCCTGCCGTGGGTGTCGGGCGTCGCCCGGGACCACGGAGTGGCGGCGACGGCCGTGTTCTGGATCCAGCCGGCCACGGCCCTCGCCGCGTACTACCACTACTTCCGCGGCCACCGGGACGCCGTCGTTGCCGCCGCGGCGTCCGGGGACCCGTACGCCGAGGTGCGGCTCCAGGCCTCCGCCGCTCCGCGTCCGCGACCTGCCGTCGTTCCTCGCCGTCACCTCCGACGACGACCCGTTTGCGTTCGTGCTCCCGGAGTTCCGCGAGCTCGTCGACGCGATCGAACGCGACGACGACGGCTCCTCGTCCTCGAAGCCGAAACCCCGACGTACGTGCTCGCCAACACCTGCGACGCCATGGAGCCCGACGCGCTCGCGTCGCTGAGGCTCCCCACGTGGACGTCTTCGCCGTCAGGCCCGTGCTGTCTTTCCTGCACGAAGCGGATGACGCCGGCAGGCGCGCCCCGTCTCCGTCTCCTCCTCGTGACGTCTTTGAACCACGACAAGAGCGGGTACCTCGGCTGGCTGCCTGCTCCCCGCTTGGCATGCTCCATGAGCGCCGCGTCCTCCTGGTCTAGAGCATCCAGCAGCTCGCGCAGTTGCCGGCGGCTCAGCACGGCCAGGTACGACGCGACAGCGCCGCGGGGGGCGGGCACCGGGCGCGAGGAGCGACACGGCCTGTGTGGCGCCGTCGACGCCCACGGGCTCGTCGTCGTGGTCGTTGTTGCGCGTGGGGCCTTGGTCGGAGGGCGGCGGTGGGCGCTGCGCCAGGTCCACGCGGAGGTCGCGGCCACGGAGGCCCGTCCGTGCAGGTTGCGGCAGGCGCTGAGGGCCGTCTCGTTGCCGAGGTACTGGACGAAGGCGAAACCCTGGGGTCGGCTTCCGCCGCCCTTGAGAGCACCTGCACCTCGCCACTGTATGACGAAATTTTCGCATATAATTATTTAATATCTGCTACGTAAAGTAACCAAGGCCATTATTGTGAAATAGTCGTGCAAATGTATAGCACTTGTATTTGTAGGCGCCATGAGTTTGATCCTGACTTCTTGGGCAATTTTATCAATTTTCTATGACGAAATTATATAGGGCTGATTAGCCCAGGTGTTCGCTTAAATCCAAATGGCCCATAAAATTGCATTGGGCCATCGAGAATTCTTTGATCGGGTTAACCTATGGTCACACGTCAGGATGAATTATTTTCCTTATCAGATTCACGACTGGATAGAAGCAAGGCTGACGCCAAGTAGTCCAGGCTCTTCACGATAACCCCACAGATAGGATTTCAATCTAATGTAAACATGTTTGCTTGGCCGGGGAGGTAAACGCCAGATCTTCCTCTCCCTATATAAAGCGGCGCCCTGGCCAACAGGAAGGGTCTCCCTTCGGGACATCTCACGCCGCACATCTGCTCTATGCATGCCGTAAGAATAGATGGCGGCCGCTGCTAGCTAGTTGCTCCACAACACGCATACACGCAGAGGCCAAAAGGCAAAAGCTGCACCTTGCTGCACTTCTACCCGACGCCGTGCAAGTCTCGCCGGATGGCAATTCTGCCACACCGCTGCACATCGGCATCTACATGAAAAGCCCTGGCGCAGTGGCGTAGCTAGGATATGGAGCAAGGGTGGTCCACTATAGATGTAAAATCAAATTATAGAGTGGTCCATGTATAATTTTCATGATTTTAAAGAGCTCATCTACTGTAGTTTAACCTTGAGCTAAAATTTAGGGTGCTCCATGGACCACCTGTCCACATAGCTAGCTCCGCCTATGCCCTGGCGCAGTCGAGGACCACCTCTCCTTCAACGACATGTGTTTGATCTGGATAGCAAAGCGCGTCTGATGGCGGCTGTCCATGATCACGATGGGGAAGAGGCGGCGGCGAGGTCGTATTGGCCTGATCCTATTATTTCTACGATGGCAGGGAGGTCGTATTGGCCTGATTCATGTTGTTTCTACGATGGCGGCGAGGTTGTATTGGCCTGATCCCTATTATTTCTACGATGGCGGAGAGATCGCCTCATCAGATTACTTCTCACCGAGATTCGATGATTGACAAGGCGTTAGACCCCGCGGGCTCTGCCCCTACAAATTTGGCGTAACGCCCGAATTAATGCAAGTGATGCAGTAAGGCTGCCAAAGTATTTGACGGAGATTAAATTCCGAGCTCGTTATGCTGGTAATTACAGCGAGGGGTTGCCCTCACCGAGCTCGGTGAATTGATAATATATTTTCCCAGTGCGAGCTTCGCCTCCGCAGGTAGACGCTTGTCGCGATGGCGGAAAAGTTGAGACACACGAGACGAGAATGCCTCGTTTCGCTATAAAATACCAACGCCGGGAGGCCATCAATTTGTTCACATGAGAAAGCATCGTCCAAGCAATACTTATACAGTTAATTGATGTGGATTTCTATTATATAATCATCTACGTCTAGTGCCGACGATGCTAGACGGAGCTCTGGCCAAGTGCCGACGAGGCGAGGTCACTACTCCATCGATATGTCCCAATTAACAGGATTAGACACATCGTTGCTGTGCACCGACGAGGCAAAGGCAACTTACACACGTCCGTGTTAATGAAGGCCGGCGTACATGACTAGGCATCGACGAGGCGAAAGTCATCCCCTTCATCAACAATTTATTCCGTTTACTCCGACGTGGCGATGGCGATGTCACGACCGAGCTTCGGCGACATAAGGCCACCCATTCTATTACTATGCCATATATTGCATATGGCTGACGACGATCGAATATTTGACGACCATAAAAGCGCTGCTTAATCGGAGGTTTTCCGCAAGCTCGTCTTGCGAATGTAATTAACCGGTCGCGCCTAATTGGCCCCAGGAATCGGCGAACTACGCAATTTTCCTACAAGTCAGACCTCTCCTTAAGCATGACGCTGAAGACAGAAGAAGACATTTTTTTGTTGAACATGTATTTTGTATATTCAAGAAAGAATTAATGAAATATGTGGTTCTCGAATGTGTGCATGTGTCTCTCTGTGCATTACATTTTTTTATGTCTTCGTTTGGTTTTCAACCAAACAGCCACCTCCGTCACCGTGGCAAGCTGCAGCAGCGTGTAGTCATCTCCTTCCCCTTATCTTCACCTGCACCGTCCCCACCATGGATGCGTCGGGAGGGGTTGCGGAGGCCGGCGAGGTCGAAACGCGGCCATGCCTGCTGTCGGTGTTTCGAGTTACCACCGACGAGTAAATTTGTATTTGCGCATCTAGCTCGGATGGTGTGCTTGGAGGACACAAGGATTTATACTGGTTCAGGCAGAACGTCCCTACGTCCAGTTTGCTGTTGCTCATGTTACCGACACTTGGTTTGCAGTAGGGGTTACAAACGAGCGAGAGAGGGAAAGGATCCCAAGTCTCTGGTGGAAGGAGTGAACGGGTGCTGAGAGCTCAGTTGCTGCTCAGCCGTGTGTTCGTGTCGTGCTCTTGTGTTTTCTATCTCGTGGTTCAGCTTCATGCGGATCTGGCTCCGATCGAGTCTCGATGGGCCGATCCCCTTCATGGGATGGCCTGCTTTCCCTTTTATAGGCCAAGGAAAAACACGGGTTACAGCGGAGGAAAAGAGAAGAACGAGAGAGAGAAGAAGGCCTTCAGGATCGCTGGGTCCTTCTTCTCCTTCATGCGGGTTCCGCCGACCCTGTAGATGTCAACAGGGACAGCTCCACGTCGCAGCCCTGTCCGTCACTAGCACCATGCATAGGCGTCGTCTGCCGGTCATGTCGTTCCATCCACTCTCGGCGGACATCGTGGTGAACTGACGCGCCTGTCATCGTTCCTACGAGGGTTAGGCAGAACAGCACCGGCACGCCCGATGCTGTTCTTGATGTGAACCCTCAGGTATGGCTCGTCATGGCCACGGGTTACATCGAGACGTGCTAGTCTCTTCCCTGGTGTCAGAGTTTTGAACTAGGCCCATACACTTGGACATGGAGTCGTTGGCGGCGATATGGGTCCCCGTTGGGCGAGACGGAGCGCGAACCCAAGGGGTCGAGCGACATGGAGCCCACACCCAAGGGGTCGGGTGAGGTGGAAACCGCGGCCTCGGGGTCGGGCAAGACGAAGCTCGCACCCAAGGAGTTGGATGAGGCAGAAACCGTGGCCATGGGGTCGGGCGAGACGGAGCCCGCACCCAATGGGTCGGCCGAGGCAGAAACCGCATCCTTGGGTTGGGCGAGGCAGAGCCCTCGGCCTTGGGTGAGACCCCCATGGCTTCGGGATCAGGCGAGACGAAAACCGCAGCCTCAGGGTCGGGCGAGACGGAGACCGACCAAAGGAGTCGGGCGAGGCAGAAACCGCGGCCTCGGGGTCGGGCGAGGCGGAGCCTGGCCCAGAGGTCGGGCAAGGTGGAGCCCACGTACCTAGGGGTCGGTTGGAGCTGTAGTCACGCTCTTGACTGCTCGGAAGAATCAATGTTGATGACCATTAGCTCATCCTCTTCGGGTACCCTAGTATTGGTCCCTGACAGTAGCCCCCGAGCCTACGGAGGAGTAGAATACTCCTTCGGAGGCTTTTCCGAATGGGAGGACTCTGAGGGCCTTGGCCTTCTTTTGTTGCACACGACATTTCCTGGGGATGGTGATTCCCTTTTGTTGTGATCGGACCCCTCGGGGGTATAGCCGTGAGATTTGGTGGGTCAAAAACGGTCTTTCCTGATTCTGACCCCTACGGGGGTCTGTCATTCTACGACCGCACGTTCGATCTCCTTGCGAGTCCAACTTTCCTCGAGGCCCCACCCGTAGCAGGGGTCCGGTCGATGGTCGGCTCGTCTTTGTGATCGTCTTCCCTCAAGCGTTTTTTTGATAAAACAGAGGGGCTGAGCCGTGCCACGATTTTCCTCTATGGACGAATCATGGTGCTTGGTGAGCTGTTAATGGGCTAGTCCGAGTGGGGCCCTAGCATCCCGTTCATAGGGGTCTGGCTTGGGTCAGCTGGTTACCGACTCCAGATTCTTAGCGGTCAATCCATATAGTTCTTGGGTCCATTTGACCGGTCTCGAGGGCTCTCTGCCTTTCTTCGAGGAAAAACCATGGATCATATCCAGCCGAGACTCGAACATCGGCCAGGATGCCCATGGCGCTCGTGCGTCCGGGTACTGGCCGCTAGCGCGCCTATCCCTTTTCATCCCTCACTTTAAAGGTGTCTGGAGCGGTTGTTGAACTCATCGGTGGGCCAACCTTCGAAATCCTAGGCCTAGATGTGGCGTAGGAGCATTTTTGGCTCTATATCCCTCTTACCTGTGATGGGTCGTGGCCCATTCAAGGAGGCAAAACGTCCGATGCATTTTCTGAGGGGACGGCCATAGGTTGCGTGCGCACGCCACGCAACGAGATGTGGTGACAGGTCGTGGCAGGTGCGGAGATCTAGGTGGGTGGTTGGTTTCCTCGCACCTGTCACCCCTAGAAAACCAAAGGGTTAGCCCTCCGTGTTTCATACGCATGCATGCATCCTTACCTCCATAGCCATGCCGCCGTCGCCAATGCTTAGGTTTCCTGCCTCCACATCTCCACCGTTGTTGAGCCCGCATCCATCCGCCCCCATCTCTAATGGATCCATGGTGCCGTTTTAACATCACCTCACAGCTCATGGAGGGCCTCGTCCATCGCGGTCTTCTCCGCGCATGGACCTCGGCCGAGGAGTGGTTGCTGCTCGGCGACAAGGATTCGTCCGATGGCTATGTGGTGTCGTTCACCCACTTCCACGAGCGTGGGCTCGCAACCCCCACCCACAAATTCCTCCGGGGGCTACTGCACTTCTACAAGATCGAGCTACAGCATCTCAATCCCAATGGGATCCAGCACATGGCGGCGTTCGTCGAGCTGTGCGAAGGATTCCTGGGGATCAGCCCCCACTTTGACTTGTGGAGGTATTTCTTCCCCGTCAACCTCTAGAAGAAGAGGGAGATGGGCGGTAGGCAGGAGCTGCACA